TCAGCATTTTCGTAAACATGTGCCATTTTTGATTTCGTTTGAGCCACGCAACACACTACTATTCACTCAGGATTTATCGACTGACGAAAAACATCGTGATAAACGTTTCAAATTCTTTCGCTTTTTTGTTTCCGATGCGATGAACCGGTCAGGCGGATTATATCCGTTGTCGCCAAACACGAGCATATAATAGGCAGGGCGGTACTCAAACTTCCAAAGGGCTATAACTTTGTTACTTTATATGTACCAGAAAAATGGTAAAGGAAAAAAACATTTCTTTTGATCAGATCTACTCACTGTTAAAATAAATGACTCAACTTCGAAGTCACCCTGTATATATATTTATAAATGCGCCCTCTACACCTTCAATCACAGGGGCGAGTTTCTGCAGAACAAGGACTTAAACACGAACTACAACACTAGAGCGAAACAGGACGCATACACTGCCAATGTTCGAAAAATCATCAGCCTATGCCTGCGCCAAGGTATGCAATAAGTTGCCATCAATAATAAAAGATATTAGATGCTCAAATAGGTTCAAGAAAGAGCTGAGGGATCTGTTAATAGAAAGATGCTACTACTCAGTAGCTGAGTTTCTTTCAGGGTAAGAGTGATGCACCTAAAAATTAAATAGGAAACTATGGCTGTATATATATATATATATACTTTGAAGTTGAGTCATTAATTTTCAGATAATGATTGTAGAAGGAAGATAAACCAAAATATGTGTGTAAAAATAAAAAAAAATTAAAAAAAAAATTTTACCTTGTTTTATAAAGTATCCTCCCGAAAAGTATTTCAGTGCGGACCTGTATTTGATCGTGAGGTCCCCTGTGAGGTCTTAAGTCACCTGATTCACGAGCCCGTTGTACTACATTAACAAAGGCACGAGGGGTTGGTTGCACTCGATTGGGAAACCGATCCGCATAAACATGTGCCATTTTTTATTTCGTTTGAGCCACGCAACAGACACTATTCACACGCGTTACCGACTGACACTAACTGTATGTATAACTGAACTGAATAAAATAATTGTAAAAACATCGTTCCAAATTCTTTCGCTTTCTTGTTTCCGATGCGATGAACCGATAAGGCGGATTATATCCGTTGTTGCCAAACACGAGCACATAATATTATTATTGAGACAGGGCGGTACTCAAACTTCCAAAGGGCTATAACTTTGTTACTTTAATTTTACCAGAAAAATGGTAAAGGAAAAAAAAACATTTCTTTTGATCAGATCTACTCACTGTTAAAATAAATGACTCAACTTCGAAGTCACCCTGTATATACAATAATAATATTATGTGCTCGTGTTTGGCAACAACGGATATAATCCGCCTTATCGGTTCATCGCATCGGAAACAAAAAAGCGAAAAAATTTGGAACGATGTTTTTACAATTATTTTATTCAGTTGTATACAGTCAGTGTCAGTCGGTAACGCGTGAGTGAATAGTGGTGTCTGTTGCGTGGCTCAAACGAAATAAAAAATGGCACATGTTTATGCGGATCGGTTTCCCAATCGAGTGCAACCAACCCCTCGTGCCTTTGTTAATGTAGTACAACGGGCTCGTGAATCAGGTGACTTAAGACCTCACAGGGGACGGCATGCCGGTGCTCCAAGACCTCACGATCAAATACAGGTCCGCACTGAAATACTTGTCGGGAGGATACTTTGTAAAACAAGGTAAACATTTTTTTTAATGTTTTTTTATTTTTACACACATATTTTGGTTTATCTTCCTTCTACAATCATTATCTGAAAATTAATGACTCAACTTCAAAGTCACCCTGTATACAGGGTGTTCCATAATTATTGCGACAAAATGATAGGGGTTGTAGAGGGCATAAAAATATGCAATTTTGCCTTATAAACCCCTGTTCGTAAATATGCCGTTTGAGCACTACCGCTAATTTTACCTTAAGAGCTCATAAGAGAAACAAAAAATTCACCAGCTGCAAAATATTCGTCTAGCACATTTCATGGTCTCGCTGGTTTGTAAAAAAAGCCTGCTGTGTTTACATTTTTGTTATCGTAAATTCTCCACACCGATTCATTTAATTTATCTGAGTGGTGCGTCAAACTAGATAGTAAATAACAGTACCTTAGTGTTAAAATGCAGCGTTATTCGTATGCCGAACTTGCGGATATGCATTTAATTTCCAGAACGTCCTCATCCGCATCCAGCCATTTTTGCAAGGATTCATGGACGTCTTCGTGTCAGTGGCAGCATCAGACACCTCGCGGGAGCAGGGCGGCCCTTCACGAGGCGCACAGTAGAATTTGAGGAAACGATTCTGCATCATGTATAGGCCAATCCGCGTACAAGCGTGCGTACTATTGCACATGATATGGGAGCGTCTCAAACTACTGTTTGGCGGGTTCTCCATGACCAGCAGCTACACCCATACCACCTTTTAAAAGTCCAGCCATGGGTCCAGAAGACTATCAGCCGCGTCGACGTTTTTGTCGTTGGTGGCTGCAGCAGGAGTTGAGGCAACCAAACTTTGGTCGCTACGTTTTGTTCTCTGACGAGTCCTGTTTTACAAAGGACGGTTATTTTAAGTCACATTTGAGATGAAGAAAACCCTCATGCCATAGCCATCCATAGAGACCAACATCAGTTTTCAATTAACATCTGGTGCGACATTGTGGACGAGCATATCATCGGGCCATATTTGTATCCACCACGTTTGGATGGGCATGCTTATAATCGATTCTTACAGCATGTGCTACCGGAACTATTAGAAAATGTGCCACTGAACATAAGAGCCAACATGTGGTGTCAACACGATGGCGCTCCAGCCCACTTTTCTTTACAAGTGCGGCAGTATTTGGACGACAAATTTCCAAATAGGTGGATAGGCCGAGGTGGCCCTGTGCCTTGGCCTGCGCGGTCACCCGACCTGACCCCACTGGATTATTTTCTCTGGGGCCATCTGAAAGCTTTAGTGTACGAAACTCCTGTTCCCAACCAACAAGAGCTACTGGGAAGAGTGATGGCCGCGTCCGCACATGTTCAGGACATACCGGGGGTATGCCACAGAGTTCGCCGATCATTGAACAATCGTGCACAGCTGTGTATTGAGCAAGGTGGAAGACACTTTGAGCAATTACTGTAGGTAAGCTGTTTCAAGAAACTGATCTTTTTTTTTGCTGCAGCCCAAACGGCATATTTCCGAACAGGAGTTTATAAGGCAAAATTGTTCATTTTGATGCCCTCTGCAACCCCTATTATTTTGTCGCAATAATTATGGAACACCCTGTATATATATATATATATATATGTGTGTGTACATGTGTATGTGTGTATATATGTATATATTTACTCGTATATGCGCGGGTACCTTTTATTTTTTTCTATTTTTATTGTACTGACTTCTTTTACACCTTGTTCCGTTTATTGTTGTATCTGCTTGTTTAGTGTATGTTTTCATTCGTGCGCACATGCGTCCTTTACCCTTTTTCGACAAACTGTGTTTCTTTCCATTTTTAACCGACAAATTTATGTATTTATACTTAAATATATTTTTAATTTTTGTAGATAATAATGTACTTATAGAGATATGTCTGACGAGTCTTATATCATACCTATGATCCGAAGACAATAAAGCATCTATCTATCTAATACATTCTGTAATGTCCAAGAAAAAAGGAAACGGCCTAGACTTTGGTAGATAACAACACCATTTAAAAATAGGGCCTTGTATAGTGGCAGTCACTTACTACAGGAACCTCAAAGCTCAAAGTGAAGACGGTGAGCATTTTAAAATTTTCTCTCCTCTCATCGAATGCAGACAAACGACTAAATACAAATACTAGAAGCACAACAAATCCTGTCCAGACCAAATCAAACCTCTCTTTGATATACCAATCAAGCAGCGAATGCAATCGAACGCCAGCGCCTACTTTGGGAACCGTTGGCTTATGTTGGCTCGCGCCGTACACACCGATTCGAACACCTCCAAATCTGTAACCACATGTACCTTGGCTTATGCTGGAATCTCGGTCTGTACGTGGCTTTATATGACGACTCTTAATGCGGGTCCCACACGATGCTTCTAATGATGTATACAACGTTGTGTACAATTTTGTTTACAACGTTCGTTACGCCATAATTGGCAATTGGCAACCTTTACAACTGGAGGAAAAATCATACAAAATGAACTATGAAACAATTTTTTCGAGATAATATCAGATCTGTCGTCAGCGACCAAAACTGTCAGAAACATCAGAAATACCGGAAAACTGAGTTTGACCGTTTTTTGTTTGTTTTTCGATGATAACTCCGCCGACACTGCACCGATTTTCAAAAACTGCAGAGTTTTTTCGTCATTTTCATAGTAGTAACCTAGGGTTAAATTCATCAAAATCCGGATAGTACTTTCAGGGTTATCATTTATTTAATCGTATTCGTTAGTTATGAAATGCAGGTCAATATATTTCTCAACTAGTCTGGCATTGCAACAGGATATTATAATGAAACAACTGTACGCACTTGATAATTTATAATTTGATAAAGCACATATCCTCAGCCCAGCCATAACTCACCTGTGAAACGTACAAAATATTAGCAATATAAAAAAGTGTTGTTATGACAGCCTATGCTTTGTATGTATACTAATTTAATTCATTCTCCTAAAAAGTTAGTTGCGGAACATACATTATTATGAATAGGTAGGTATTCAAACCAAAATACTTCCCACATATCAATACTTCAGCACAATCACAGCAAACAGTAAATAATGTTTTCGGTTTCGCCGCTACTGGCCAACTGGTCCTAACCTAAAACCATCAAACACATGACATCTCGTGTGGGTGCGTAACGAACCATGCTTCCAACATTGTAACGTCCTTTGACGCTGTTCAAATTTACCGACAAGAGCCCGAACGTGCAATGTGGCGAACGTTGGATACATGCAATCCGTCAGCTCTATCCCACATGATGTGGCCACGTGTCCAACGTTGTAAGGCATTCACCACATCGTGTGGGACCGGCTTAATATGAAAGCACCTCGCAGGTGTGGAGGCCCAAATTCCCAGCACAACGTGGCACATGTTGACATTAGCAATTGTCAATGTTAGACTGTATTTATAAATCTGTGGCATTGCAGTGTGTTTTTTAAATTTAGTTCTTCATATTCAGGATATTTAGTTACTTTTAAGAGGATAAGAAGAATGGCGAATCTCAAAAGTGAGTCTTAATATTTGATTTTTAGGGATTCTAATAAGAGTCTGGCCCTTTTTTTATTGTAGGAAAACTGGAGCGGCTTCGGTCGATACGAGAAAACAATGAGAGAGCAAGTAGAGAAGTTGTAGAAATTTGGGAGAGTGTGATTTCAAAAAATCTCGAAAACCTAGGGAAAGAAAGTAAAACTGAAATTATCAACTAGCATACTGCATAACCCAAATTCAAATTCATTTACAGAGTATGTTGTTCTGGAACAGATATGTATAGCAGCCCTGGATTGTTTTAAACTTGGTATAGCTGAGCAGTGCATAAGGGAACTATATGATGAATTTCCAAACAGTACAAGAGTCAGGATATTGGAATCTATGCTGTATGAAGCAGATGAAAACTACAAGTCTGCACTGCAGATTCTGAATGATATTATAAAACAGGATGTTAACAACAGTTCAGCAAGGAAGAGGAAAGTTGCTATCTATAAATCATTGGGTAAAAATGCTGAAGCTATTAAAGAGCTCACAGATTACTTAAAAATGTAAGTCTTTTCCAACAAGCTTGGATTTATAATCATATTAATCAAAATCTGCAGTTTTGCAGCTGATGTTGAATGTTGGCAAGAATTGAGTGAGATGTATATAAATGAGCATGACTACAACAAAGCTGCATTTTGTGTGGAAGAATTAATACTACATAATCCTCACAATCACCTTTTATACCAGCGATATGCAGATGTCAAGTATACACAAGGTGGTTTAGAAAATATTGAACTTGCTAGAACATATTACTACCAAGCATTCCTATTGAATCCTAGAAATATGAGGGCATTGTATGGGATCTATTTGGTAAGTGAAGTCATGGGCCTGCGCCTGATAAGGGGGGTAGGGTGCCAATTGAAATTTGCATATTTAGCATGATTTTATGTACAATTTTAAAAACTTGAGATATGCCTGCCCCTGGAAAATTGCTCGTCAGAAAGTTTTTGGGGCAGGTGCACTTTCACAAAAAGTTATCTCTTGGCGATGATTGGTTCCCCATGTGTGAAGTTAAAATATGCATTTTAATTGTAAAATGACTTGACTTCTTCTAAACTGATGTAGCAAAATGTCTCAGAGTGGTGTTATAATAATTCTATCATTTCAGGCATCTACAGCAATAGTTAACAATACCAAAAATTTATCATTAAAGAAGAAGGAGACTACCAACAAAATTATTGACTGGTGCTTGAAAGAGATCAAAGACAAGTATACCAAGAAAAGTACCTCAGATTTGGAGGAAAAGCTTGCAGCATTAGAAATATAAAGGATCTTAGTGAAATAACTTTTTATTGGTTTATTTTATAAGTGTAATGTAGATAGTTGAATGGAAAAGTAAAGGAACCTTGATTGATAAAACCACAAATATTTATATATTCACTATACAAGTCTATGACTAGCAGAATATTTTATTCCCCTATTCCTGCATAAGTTACAAAGGACAATTTCCGAAAACTTGAGTACCCATTGAGGAAAAAAACATACAACACGAATAAGTGCTACTGCATACGTGCATAGTGCATACCATTGACGTTAGGGTTGGAGTTTGGAGTCACGTTAGAGTTAGACGTCAATTGCGCCGAGGTTGTCTTATTTGACATTTGAAATGGTGTTCTGTGCTAGGTCTCGCACAAAACGCAAAGGTTCTGCCTCTGTTGGCTCTAGTTGTAAACAAAAACCTCAAATTGAATTTTGGCATTTGTCTGCCAGGGCCTGCTGACATTCATTGACCCGAAACTCTGACGAAAATCAGGCCAACCGACTAGTTATTCTATACTTTTAGCCACAAATTATGCCTAATGTATATTTCAATATTTGCTACAATGATTACATAGCTTAGAATCGGTGAGTAACTAGCATACTAGCAATTTATTGGCATTGTTTATCATACTTCATCAAGTATGAACAATCAAAAAATTCTATTATGTCTAAGACATCTATCTGAAAATAGTTATATTACATATTGATAACTTCTTTATTGTAATGCTGTCCAATTTCCATTGTAATCATTGATTTTATCTAACAGATCAATATCTGTGGATGAACATTTGTATCCTGTAATCCTGGACTGACCAAACATCTCTCAGACAAAAATGGATCCACACAACATTGTATGTCCTGTATGCACTTTATTCCTTAGACCAGGAATTACATTGAAACAGCATTTAACCTCCCATCCAAAGCAAAAAGTTATTGAAGCACTTGTAAAGTTAGCTGAAGGTGAAGATAATAAAGAACCAGAACCACCTGCTACAGTAGATCCTAATAAGTCTCAAAGCTCTGCTCATTTGAATACTGCTATAGCAAATGCAACATGGCATGCTCCCCCTCCTCATGCTGCTGTACCGCCAATGTCTCAGGTACATCCTGTACATGGGAACCACCTTTTTATTTACCAACAAAGTATGAGTACTACTTCACCACAAGCAAATATGATGAATGTGAATCCTATATCTCAGCAGTATGTATATCCTACTGTTTTCAACCCTCAGATAATGCCTTATGTGTATCAACAGCAGCAAGTTATATTGTCAAGTAATTCTTTACCTCCACCAATGAGAGCATTACCCTTTGAACTGGCTAATTCGATTCCAAATAATTCAAATGAAGCAAAAAAATGCAGTGGGAGTGATGAAGGCAGAATTATTGAGGTACAAGATGATAGTGGAGTGGATACAACAATAGAAACAGAATCATCAAAAGAGGAGGGAGATGAGTGTGAAGCAGCCACTAAAAAAGATTCAGTTCATGAGGAAGATGAGGAGGAAGATGATGATGAGGAAGAAACACTTCATTCAGAATATAATGAAAGCATTGTGATAAAAGATAATCATGTAGATCAGTTTTACAAGCCTATTGATGATGTTGATGCTCATGGAGAATGTATACGATCTCCAAAATCAGCTTCAAATTCAGAATGGGGTTTAAATACAGAACTAAATAAAGCTTGCCAAACCCAAAACATCTGCAATTCACCATCTAGAAGCCAAATTCCAGAGGAACAAGCACAAACTGAACAAGAAAAAGATCGTCCAGACTATTTTTATGTGGACCACCAGCAAAACCATCAGTACCCAGCTAGATCAAGCTGTTATCCAGACTCTGTTACAAGTGTTCCTTTTACCACAATCAAATTAAATAACACATATGAACAGTCAGAACCAATATACACTTCTGCAAACATTTTACATGGAAATGATCATCTTGATTTTGTAACCATGGATGACATTGTCATTATCAATGACTTTCCTTCGAATCAACAAGTAGTATCACAGGTTGAAAATTATGAAATGTCATCACCCGACAGATCTGGCATACTGATGACTATTGGAGAGGTTGTGGAACCTCCAAAAATGGACTTTAATGACCAACATGATTTGGAAGAAAGTATGTCCAGGGGTAGTTCACATGTCAATATACGTTCTGATGAAAGGATGCCAGCTACAGGTGAGCTTTCGGGTCAAGAAAGCATAGGTGGTGCTAGTGATATCACTTGGAATAGATTGCAGTACCATCAGGAGGGACATTCCAGAATGTTCCAATCTTATGACTTGATTGGTAAACATTCTTGGGAGATGTCGGATAGTGAAAGTGTTGACAACCCAGAAATGCAAAAGAAAATACCTGTTGGTCTTAATGAAGAAGGTAATGATGATGATGCTCCTACAATTGTAGGCTTTACTGGACCTCCCCTAAATTTCAAATGTCCAACATGCGGGGAAGGATTTGCAAATTCAAAAGAAAGGCGGGAGCATGAGATTGAAAAGCATCCAGAGAAAAAGAAGTGTAATGTTATAGGATGTGACATTGATAAGAAGAAAGTTAAAAAACTTGTTGTCAAATGCAAATCAGATAAAGAGAAAGAAAAAGAACAGAATTTTGATAACATTTTCACAAATAAACTAAAACTGGAAAGTGGTGATGGCTCAGCTCAAGAGACCACAGTAATAAAAGTTGATGATACTGCTGTTTCAATTGATCCACAGAGCTTGAAAACAGTTTGTCCAATATGTGACTGTGTATTAGAAAATGCTAAAGCTTTGAGAAAACATAAAAGTGATTCACATCAAGAAGTTACTTCTAGTAAACACAAGTGTATAACATGTGGAGAAAGTTTCAAAAATGAGTACAAATACAACAATCATCTCAGGATCCATCCTCTGGAATGCAGACTATGTGGTAAACTATTCTATAGAAAACAAAATATTCAGCTGCATATGAGAAGGCATTTAGGATTGAAACCATATAAATGTGAGGTTTGCCAAAAGTGTTTTGTAACTCGCCAGAAGCATGATGAACATAAGAATGTACATACTGGTGACACTCCACTCAAGTGCAATATGTGTGATGAAAAGTTCAGGAGGCACTCAAATTTAGTGCAACATAGAAACCGACACCATCTACATATGAAGAAGAAGGTAAGACTTGCTTTTCAAATAGGTCCCTCCCAGAAATTATAAGTTTAACCAGTCACAGCCATGTTAGCAAGTAGAAATTTGATGAAAATGATGCATGAATACTGTATTTTGGCAAAAACTTTGTAGTTTATGAAAATGGGTCTAGTGGCGGCCGAGCTAGGGGCAAAAAACATGAAAAAAATTAAAATCGCATAAATTTCGTTTTTTGACGTTTCAGAGGCTCCTGATGATTTTTAGAAGATGCTTGTAGGGATGAAATTTGGAGGTTGGGGGTTGTAGGGTGTGGGGGAGGGTATATGAAAATGTGATGTTATTTGTTATTTCACACATTATGGATTGTCTCGTACATTTGCCTTTAAATCATAGAATGATAGAAAAACTTTTTCAATCCACAGACTCCTGCTATTTAAGCTCACTGCCCGGCGCAGCAGTCCAGTCCAATCTATTAGTATTACAGCCCATAAAACATTTACACAGGATGAAAGATAACTCACTGTAGTGAACCTTTCTGAATTAGCATCTATTTATAATTTTATTATAATACTTTGAAATGGATTAGCTTATTAACCATTTAGTATAGTCGAAATCACGAAAGATGACGATTACGTCATCATTTTAGTCTCTAGCAAAGACTAACGACAGCGATTTGTAGGAATATTTTTAATGAAGTTTCAGATATGTTAGACAGAGACAAACAGAAATTGTTGTCTAAACAAACTGTATTGCTAATTTGCATGTATCCGACAAAGATGGGCGATGTTTTCATGTTGCATGATCGATCATATTTGAAAGATGTATAGTTAGGTTATGTTAAAGCAGGTTAGGTTGTTTTCGAATAATACTTTGGTCTTTGGTTTGGTGTTCCTGTCTTAAGGTATTGTACTCATAACTGTGTTTTTCAAAACAAAAACTCCCCACTAAAATTATTATTAATTATTATTAAGGTATCACTCAAAACCATGAAATAAAATGAAAATAAAAATAATCAGTGAAATAACCTAACTTCGCAAAATCATAATATAAATTTGTTGTCGTCATGTCTCTGACATCGTGATTTTATCATTGACATACGTCCATTGATTACTTCGGTTCAATTTATGTTACGTAATAGTCATCTTTCGTGATTTTGACTATATTAGTTTTTATGTATTTGCAATGGAGTCAATGGACAGATTCAGGGAACAAAAGTACTATAGCTATTTGTCAATAGTTATTTAAATGGTATCTAAATTCAGTGGCTGTTGCTCCTTGAGTACCCTGAATGGGTGTCTTTGCATTGGCTTTGGTTCCTCACATAGGTATCTTATTGTTTTAGGTCCGTGATTACATTTGTCAATGTGGCGAAATCTTTCATTCCAAGAAAAAGCTTGCATGGCATAAAGAGATCCATGAGGCAAAGCCCAAAGCTTGCACCCAGTGCAGTGAAAAATTCCTACATATGTCAAGCTTGACACGGCATATGCGGCGGGCGCACAACGGAAAGTTCTTGCCAGAAGAAGCACGTCAAAACGAGAATGTTGAATGCCCCATTTGCAAGGGCACCTTCCTCAGATCATCCTTGGATGTCCACATAAAGAACCATAGTGGGCAGAGACCATTCACTTGCTTGATTTGCAATAAGGTGATTAAATATATATTACTTTCCACTCATAATTTAAACCTCTATAACTAAACCCTATTTTACGACTATCCATCACGCTTTGACGTCTACTTAGGTGAACAGCTGATCAGCAAGTGACATTTTTGTGTTAGTCTGCAATGTTGGTAATACTGCATCGGGTCTAAATCTGGTAAAACTTGTTTGTAGCGTTTTGTTTTTTGTATGCAAACGACCTTTTCTAAATAAAAGAGCTTTTAGCAAGTACAGAATGTATCTGTTGCGTACAAAAAAACCATAACAAGATATGGCTTTGTCTATCTGACATTGACAGATCCCTCAGAATTATGTATCCTTTGCCGATATGGGGAATTTTGATTTATTACTAGATGATCAGCTGTCATTCTACAGTAATGGATGCTCGTGAAAAAGACTATAATGAAGTCACATAACCCAAATATGAGAGTTGAAGATGAAGTATTGACCGACATTTAAAGTGTTTTTGACGTGACGTGTTTTTTGCTCATAACTCTGCAGTCACTTCTCATGTTTTCGAAAATAACATTTTCTACTATGACCCTTTATCGCATGACAGTAAAATCTGTGTAGTGGTGCAGATGTATAGGCTGACTAACCAATGGCAATAAGTAGTGACATGGGTATAAAAGCATTCAAAATTTGTTTTCTGGAAACCGAATACAATAATGCCTTCACTTATGCAGGAAAAACACAAAAACCTTTATATTTATAAAGCATTATATAGTGAGCTTTGAAAATCATTCTGTATGCTGGACATTTCTTTGTTGGCCCAACCTGGCTTACTTTTGCCAGGCTGTCTGTTGTATTTTTCTTCATATAATTATTTCAACTAGAAATATCATGTCGTTTCATAGTTCAAAATTTTATTTATTTTTTATTTGGAGTGATGTACAGTAATTGACAAAAGTATATACACGTATTAATATTGTGCTGTATTTCTTTTTTAACTTGTTTTATTAATATACCAACCTGTATACATAATTCGTTATAGCATAATACTCACTTATACATAAATAAATTCATTCAATAAAAAATTAATTGAAAAAACTGGAACTATGAATGACAAAAATATATAGACAAAGCAAAACAATTATAGAAAAAAAAGCAAAGTTCATTGAATTATAGAAAACCAACCATGTTTGTGTTAATATTTTGTAGCATAACCATTATTATCAATCAAAGCCTGGCATCGTCTCGGCATAGATTATAGAAGTTTCTTGATATAAGATTCATCAATCTGTCTCAACTTTTGCTCTAAAGCGGCAAAAAGTTCATCCCTGTTTGAATAATTTTTATCTCGTATTTGCTTATCTAGGTATTCCCATTGATTTTCAATGGGGTTTACATCGGGAGACTGTGAAGGCCATTTGAGAACTTGTATTTTTCCATCCAGAAAGATTTTCTTTGCGAGATTTGAAGTGTGCTTCGGGTCATTATCTTGCTGGAAGATTGATCTTAAGGGCATATTGTCTTCCATATAGGGTAACATGACATGCTTTAGTATGTCTGTGTATACAAACTTATCCATAATGCCACCCAAAAACAATAACAGACCCGCCTCCATGTTTTTGACAGTGGGAAAAGTGTACTTGGGGTTCAATCTTTTTCCACTAGGACGTCTAACGTAATGAACACCATCTGATCCAAACATATTGAACTTGGATTCGTCACTGAAACATACCCTCTTCCAGTCACAGATGCTCCAATCAAGATGCAACCGTGCAAATTGTAATCGGTCCTTAAGGTTTTTCCTCGAGATTAGCGGCTTCTTACTCGTGCGATGTGCAAATAACTTCAAATCATTTAATCTTCGTATTTCGTAGAAACTTTTGTCTCAATTTCAGCTTTTATTTTTTATTTGTCTTGGGGTTTTAAACGGATCTTTGGACGAAATTACTTTTATTAATCTAACTGATCTAGCATTTAGTTTTCTAGGCCGACCACTTCTCTTAGAGACTTCCAAGATACCTTTTTGTTTATATTTGTTCAATATTGCCCAATCTGCTTTACGCTTCAGCTTCAAATTTTTGGCAATGTCGACTTGACTTTGACCATCTTTGTATAACTCAATGATCTTAGTTTTCACATAGAAAGAAACAAATTCTGGCCCACGCGGTATGGTATTAAAATCACTCAACTTACTCCACAATACTTGATGAACACAAACTAATCCTCTTCTGATATGAAACTGTACTAAACTAATGTTGAAAATAATTTGTCTACATATCTTTGTCCCTCATAAAAGAGTGCTTATATTCAAACTTGTATTGTGTTCATTGCAGATATTTAGGTAAATACATATTCATATTTGTCTATATACTTTTGTCCATTACTATATGTTGATCTAGATTGTTTGAGCTTTGAACTAGCTACCTATCTCACAACATCCAAATTCACTTCTAATTAGAAACTGCTATTCCCTCTGCCATATGTTATTTTTCTGAAAGTTTAGTGTTTGTTCTATTCGGCGAATTGGTCTTTGCAGGATTTCACAACAAAGTGGAACTTGAAGTTACACAAGTGGACGCACGCGAGCCGCACCTCGAAGCCCTACAAATGCGACCAATGTAAGGGTGCGTTCATACGCGAATCTGACTACATTGCGCATATGAACTCACACAAGAGCGTCAGGCCCTATACATGCAACTACTGCGGCGCTCAGTTTATCAGGAAATACAACTGCTTACGGCACGTTAAGGAGCATGAGAACAAGAAGAATTTCAACTGCCAAGTAAGTAAGCGCCCACGTATGCACACATAGCTCTACAAAGGGCTGTCCCCATCTGTCATCATTGTCGGAGACTGTTGGGTGACCGTCGCGCGACTGAAGTCGCCAGCATAAATTGGTCATTAACAGTTATTATATTCTTCTTATGGCAAGGATAAGGTCTGATGAACGCTGACGCTATAATTATTTCGAGCCCCTGCTAATTCTTGATATTGCTTGTGATTCTGAATTGTTCGAGTAGCTCGGATCATTAACACTAAACACACCATAACCCGTCGAAAAGACTGGTAATAAACTTTTGTATTGTATGGTTTTCGACAATGTACAGTCCTGCTTGATTATAATAAGGTTCATTTGTTTATTTTCTTCCTTACATCCATATTTCATATTATATTCAGTCAAGAAACATAAAGTCCGATCATTTGTTATATATGTTATAAATATGTGTGTATTAGTTGTTGGTATGTTTAGTCTTGAGGCGAGGTTTGCAGAGTTTTGAGGTTAGAAAATTTCAAGTTTACAATCGTTTTTGATACCAGAATAAATAGTGTAATCTCATGCATATTGCTCTAAAAGCGAATTAGCTAGGTGTTAACTTACAAGTTTGACGAATCATTTATATTATCATAAAGTCAGGGATGCTGGTTTTTTCACTTTTTCTTACTTTTTTCGATCTGCTTAACTTTACTCACTTTTCATTGAAAACATTCACTTTTCTCACTATTTTCGCTCTCGCTATACATTTTGTAATTTATGAACGTTTTCGGAGGAGGACATTTCTCTCAAGCCCTACGAAATTAAATGAAGAGAATTTTTTTTTATAAAAAATCAACTATGACAAAGTTGTACATGAGAAATTACTAGAATTAGCTGAAATATACGATGAATTTTAATTCAACTTTGTTAAAAGCACTTTATACAGGGTGTCCGCAAAGTTAGGGTTTTCCTTTACCTGACATGTAGATTTTGAGAAAATAAGCGGATTTTCTTAGTAGCATATACACCAATGTCTTAAGAGAACCGAGATATTGGGCTCCGCAAACTCAATCAAACCCGAACCAAACCGAACCCGGTCCTATCCCTCGATCACGTCCACAGCGCCAGCGTACAGTTATACGACGTACGACTACGATGTAAATACGCTAGTATGCAACCTAGCCTAGACGCCGGTGGTGTAGGTCAACAAACCATTACGTTGGTAACCGATTGCTGTTCAAAAAATAAAAAAAAATGGCACACTCATACACCAATAGCGACTAGTCAACATGCTGTTAATTTACGGTGTTTTCAAAATGCGACCGAGGTTTCGTGAGTGTGTTCAAATCGTTTTCCCAGACGTCAGCATCCAAGGGCTCCGTCGATTTGTTTACTTTGTGCAGACTCGGATATACGGGTCGTTTGGAGGAATGGCGAGGTGGGCACAGTGGGAGACCTAGACAACTCCGAATGGTGCAAGCTCAGGAAGAAGTACTGAATCTCAATAGGCATTAGGGACGTGGCTAGTCAAGTGCAAGTGTCGAAGTGTGACAAACGCTGCATGATGAGGGATTGTACCCGTTTCTCGTGCAACGTGTACAAACCCTCCAAGTCGAGGATTTCCCTGCAAGAGTGCGGTTTTGTGAGTGGTTGTTGCATCAAAATGACAATAATCTGGACTTTTTGAAGTGCATATTAGTCATAGAGGAATCCACGTTCACGCGTAACGAGGTGAATAACTTCCGCAATACTCATGTGTGATAAGTAGAAAATCCTCACGCTGTCCGTCGGTCACACTTTCAACAAACATTTTTTGTGCACGTTTGGGCTGGCAAGGAGCATGCTCATTGGATCATTTATTCTCCAGAATCGGTTTCTCCATGACGGTGCACCGCCCCATTTTAGACACGTGAGTTCTTAAATGAATCATTTCTGAATAGATGGATCGGGCGTAATGGACCCGTAGCCTCCGCAATCTCCAGACAACACCGTGTGATTTTTTTCTTTGGGGCGAAATGAAACACTTGGTGTACAAAACTGAGGTGCACACGGTTGACGAATTACGTCTGATAATTGAGCAAGCTGCTGGTTTCATTCGGGGAAGGGACTCCACTCTAAAAGCCTGCACCGATGCTTGGCTACGTCGAGCACGCACATGTATTTTTGAATCCAACGGCTACAACTTCGAACAATATTTATAAAATACGTTCACCAAGAAAAAGTGTCTTCGACGTCATATTTTCGATCTCTTTTTTGTTATTTTTGTTTCATGTGCTCCTCGGATTTTACGACAGAGCCTCAATTCAACTGAACAGTGAGTACTTTTTCATTTATTTTTTTACTTATTCGCTCACGTTTCATCACACATTAGCTTTGTTATATCAAACGTAGTTGTGTCTCAAAAGGAAAACCCTAACTTTGCGGACACTGTATATATGCACTGGTGATTTTAAATTCGGAAACGGTAAGTAATAAAATACAAATTCGTTTGTGAATGCCAAGTTGCGCAATTAGGTAATTAATAAAATGTTACTTACATAGTTTGGCAATTTGGAGAATTTTTGGAGATACTGAAAATACGAATTTCAATATAAATTGCATTAACAGTAGCACTTTTTACAAGCCTTGTATGTTAGTTCGTTAGTATGCATGTGTGGGATAAACCCTGAAATTGAATTTTGAACCAATTAATCTTAACCAGTTGGGCTGAAATTTTGTATGCCGGTCTGGTTCGTGTGGCAATACATAATGAATTAACTGCCGCTAATTTGATTCTAATATGGCGTATGCTACTTAATGGCGATTTTTAATTTCCATAGTATCTGATATGGGCCTCAAATGAAAGAACATACTGAGAGAAACACAATAAGCAAACTGATGTCATTCTAAATCCAATATGACGGCAATTCATAATTTTCATAGTGACCTCTATAATATGGGCATCAGATGAAAGGGCTTGCGAGAAACACAATAAGCAGTGTCGTCATTTCAAATCAAATATGTCGGCCCCTGCAAGATAGGGTTTATAATTTCTCTTGTTACCCCTATGATATGGTTATCGACTGAAAGGGCTTGATGAGAGAGATACACTAAGCTACGTGACGTTATTCTAGATCCATGGCGGCCGCCGCAAAATATTGATTTATAATTTTCATACAGTCAAAATCATGAAAGATAACTATTACCCAGAATTGTACTGAAGTAATCAATGGACGTACATCGATGATAAAATCACGATGTCAGGAACATAATGACATCAAAATTATATTGTGATTTTGCGAAGTTAGGTTATTTCACTATTTATTCACTATTATTATTTTTATTTTCATTTTATTTCATGGTTTTGAGTGATACCTTCATAATAATTTTAGTGGGGAGTTTTTGTTTTGAAAAAAAAAACAGTTATGAGTAGAATACCTTAAGACAGGAACAGCAAAGACCAAAGTATTATTCGAAAACAACATAACCTGCTTTAACGTAACCTAACTATTCATCTTTTAAATATGATCGATCATGCAACATGAAAACATCGTCTATCTTTGTCGGATACATGCAAATTAGCAATACAGTTTGTTTAGCTTAGGCAATAAAATTCTGTTTGTCTCTGTCTAACATTTTAGAAACTTCATTAAATATAGTCACAAATTGCTGTCGTTTGTCTTTACTACAGACTAAAATGATGACGTAATCGTCACCTTTCGTGATTTCGACTCTAGTCACCCGCATATTAAGGATATCAACTGAAAGGGAATGATGAAAGAAGCACAATAAGCGAAGTGGCGTCATTCTAATCCAATATGGCGGACGTTGAATACGACAATTTACATTATTATGATATGGAGATGATCTGATGATAAAACCAAGCAGTGGCCATGGGAACCCATCAAGCATAAGCCTTACTTGATTCCTAATCTAAAACACTCTAGTCTTACAGTCTGACGATTTGTCAACTATAGTATAAAATATACTCATCCATAATAACTATATCAAATTTCAACTTATCAGTTGGACAAGAATACCCTTATTTACAAGACTTTGTTATAACTTTTATTTTATTTTTTTATATCGAAGCAGTCGCGCAGGCAGAAACCTAAATTCCGGAACACCTCGGCTGCTATGATGATATCAAAGAAATTTTGTTAATACGATTTTTGAACTGCCTAAGGTTAGTAGAACTGGGAACAGCTTCCTCCACAATCTCGACACCCTCGGGACAAAGGAGCAGTCGTATCGGCCAGTTCTGGATGTACGAAGTTCGACACGGTTAGGATGGGACCCCAAAGTCAGGAGGGTCTGTCTGGTAGGCACATCGCGCGCGGCATCATGGAAGAGAGCTCTGAGAAGCAAAACCCGTTGGTGTAACGGTAGAAAAGAGCTAGATTGCCGACTGCCCGCCGGTGCGAAAGTCATCGATCAGTCGGACCGCCCTCCTCTGGACAGCATCGAGCATGGATGATGTAGTTGGGGCGGCAGCACCCCAAACGTGTGAGCAATACTCCAGGCTAGGCCTTATCTGGGCCTTGTATAGAGTGAGAAGGTCATGCGGCGAAAAGTACTTCTTAGCCCTAAACAAATAGCCTAGCTTTTGCAGCTGCAGCGATTGTCGAAATGTGTTCGTGCCAGATCAGGTCCTCGGTGATCTGGACTCCGACCAGTCGAAATGAATGACTCTTTGGCAGAACTCGGCCATCCATCGAAACCGGGTGAGCGCTAGGACGTTTTTTGTTCGTCAAAGTACAGTACTGTATTTTGGAAGCATTGAACTGTTGCGTCCCCAAGCAGTGATAGCCTCCAGGTCTCTTGTCAGAGAAGAAGTCGTCGCTAGTCTTCTTTTTACCAGCTCAGCGGCAGAGATCGGCTTGTCGCTCTGAATTCCTGCATGTAGAGTGCTATTATCAGCGAAGCTGTGGATTGGGTAGATCGTGCAGGAAAGGAGGTCGTTGATATGTAAGAGAAACTGTGTCGGAGCGAAGAACGATCCCTGGGGAACACCCGCGTTGACGTTGTGGGATGAAGAGGAGAACCTGTCAATTACGACGGATATCTTGCGGCCAGAGATAAAAGTCAGCCACCCATCTGCAAAGCTTTTCTGGGAGGCCATAGGATGGACGTTTGCTTAAGAGGGCAGCGTGCCACAGCTGATCGAACGCTTTCGTGATATCAAGAGCAACGACATGAACCTCACCATAAGACTGGATGTGTTTACTCCACAATTGCGTGACGTAAGCTAGGAGGTCCCCTGTGGATCGTTGGTGCCGGAAACCATACTGCCTGTCGCTAATCAAGCTGTGACGTTCGATCTGGTCCAGAAGCTCGCGATTTATGCACCTCTCCATCACCTTACTTATAACAGAAAGCAGAGCTATGAATCGTATGCATTTGATCTTGAAATATGGAAACATATAAATAATTATTTTTGATTACGTCAATAAAACAGTAACAAAGACTTTATAAGAGTTATTTTCGTTTTTTTTTTCACACACTCCTATTTATATTATGCGTTTAAATTTGGCATTATGATATTAGATTTCTCAGAAAGTCAACTCGCTTTTTATATATAAATTCGCTATTTCTCACTATTTTCTCATGACTTTTTTTGAAAATCCCAATTTTCTCACTTAAATTCATGCTTTTATGCCGCAGCATCCCTGTAAGAATAAATTCCCACAACAAGTGTGATTAATAACTCTATGAAAACAGAATTTGTTTATAACATCAAACTTGTTTTGAACAAGCACACATAAACACTAAAAAGCAACAGTCAAAGACTCCGCAGTGAGATGACATTTATATTTGAATGATTTATTTTGCCGATTCAAATTATTAGCAGACATGCATAGTCAATTTTAGATTTCAGTTCACCGTATTTCTTTAAATAACATGGCCATTGTCAGACAGTATGGTAGACTGATTCATAATTTTTAGAATGCCTTTTCATATACTCGTAATTATTATATATACGTACAAAGCACTTCACACATTTTTCAGTAACAGAGCAACTGATACTCCATTCGCCTTAATAGTGCTAAAAATCTCCGAGACAGTTTCTTGTTGATCATTTGATGTGATAATTAGAACAGATTTGGAATAATTATTGTTTGTAATTTTTGACGCAACCTGACTATAAGGTACTGGAAGTTCAATGCTGATGATGTATTGTAAATAGGGAAATCTGTTGTATGTAATTTGATTAATATTATCAAGCAAAATTTCGTTTGTAGGCTTTAATTCATACACAATAATGGTTAATAAATTAACTCCACTTTTCACTTTAGCAACCTCCCTCACTTCATCTTCATCGCTAGTTGATATAACGGTTGTAGTTATCCTCATCGCAGTTTTTGCACAGCCAATAAGATTTTTCCAGTTTTATGACTTTGGTAATTAACGAGAAGCATTTCTGATGATGGGTAATTTCACAATTTGCATTACATTTTACCCTTGCACTGCCTCATATTTCAATTGTATGCCTGGTGGCTTGTTTTTGCTGGGCATTAAAACTGAGCTCACACCACTCGGTCCGAAAATAAATAGATAGTTTTTGTTCGGATATTTAATTCACTGGTGTAATTAATTAAAACATTTACACACCCAACTAACACTAAACTTAAGAGTACAGGTCGTTGATTGCATGGACTAACTAAACTACAAAATTTAAGGCAGGAATTGCTCTTTTACCACTGATAAAACTGCAAAAATTCAATTGCGGCACTCCATATCTAAGTTCGGCACTTGCAAATTGCTGAATATTAAGAGAAGGGTGAAGTAAATTCACCTATGTAATCTGTCTGTACTAAGTCGAAGTTATTTGTCAGTAAAAATCATACGATAAACCCTCCTGGGATGGTATTTCCGTTGTTCAAAACGGAATATTTTCAGGTCGTTAAGTGCGAATGACATCATTGACACATCTTTTGTTCTATTTCAGGTGTGTGGCAAATCTTTCCATCGATCGTACTATTTGAAGGACCACATGAGGGTACATAGCGGAATCCGGCCGTACGCGTGTCACATTTGTGGTAAGACTTCCACCACCAAGTCTAATCATAACAAGCATGTTCAGATCCATCATGCTAGAGAGCCGGTCAGCACGGAAAATTGAAGATTTACATTATTAGTTTATTATATTTTTATATCGACAATATTTAGCTGCAAGGGTTTTGAAATCTTTATTATATAATTAACTTATTAAATTGAACAATTCTATTATGCCCCGATTCCATAACATTTTATTCACCTCTATGAATCAGTTTATATGAGTGGTTGGCAATTGACTTTTTATCGGCAACCAACCACAAATACGTTTAATATTAGTTCAAACGTAGGTTTTTCTGGCATCTCAACCAAAAAATATAGTTTGGATATGCTGAAATTAAAGTTGGTCAACAGGAATTGAATATATTTATATAGTCAACTCTAGTCCTAGCACAGCTTAGATAACAATCAGTTATGAAAATCTTTTGTTAGTGTCAAAAACGGTCGCGGAAAAAAACGAATGAGCATTCTCGTAGTACAACGATGAGAGAGATAGTGTTCCATTTTCAATAGTCCAAGCACATGTACCATGAAGCGTACCATGCCAGTAGCCGCAGGTATTCTTTGCAATTGTAAACATTTTAATATTCCAACACGATCTAGTGTAGTTTGTACGAAATAATAAAAAAAAGTATGTTTGTCCAAAAAGAAGCCGTGGAGTACTGATAACTATTTATTTATTGAAACAGCTCGACATAAATCTTGGCAGTGGTGGATCGCTATCAATATTTACAATAAATGGAAAATATTTTTTTTTGCTATGTATTTTCTGCTGGGATATTCTCAATCCAATCCAATGTATATGTCAAGGCCATATCGTAAAATTGACCATTTCATGAAATGATCGAGCATTTAATGAAATTGTGATATCTGTTATGTTCAAACATTTTATCAGTGACAGTTGTGCAATTTAAGAATGTTCACTATAATTACATATTTTAATTTCTTAAAGTTAATGAACGTGTTCGCAAGATATTCTGGATCTTTGTTGGCTATTCCATGGAAACCCTATTGTACAATATAATCAGTCGTAGATAACCAAATCGTTAAACGTTGATGATTTAACGATATGGTCAAATTTAGTTGGCCATTTCACTGTTAAAATGACAAGGCAAACACAACTTTCACCGAATCACAAGAATTTCCGCGACTTTCTCGCGAAAAATAGAGCAAACCACCAATAAAGTGACAATCAACAGAATCTAACCTGATACATCGGACTTCGCAACATATCTAAAATACCAAAAATTGTGGTCTATATAATACGATCCGTACTTGGAAAATATACAGCTCTCCACAGGATGCTTCATATTTACGTGACAACACAAGTATACATTTTTTAAAAATACCTCTTCAAAAGAAGATGTTTGATATAATATAATAGGTTAACTGCTACTTCTGGAGCTACGAGATAGTTTGTACGAAGAATAAGCTTTATATAGGTAAATTTTCATCAACACTGTCTCTTCTTTTTGGTCAGACTCCTCTTTATTATTGGTTCACAAAAGCTACACTAGATCATATCGGAATATTATAATATTTACTATAGCAAAGAATATCTGCGGCCCCTAGCCTGGTACGTTGCAACATCGGCTAGGACTGTTGAACACGCAACACGAAAATCTCTCTCTGTATTAGGAGAATTTACATGCGATGTTCTCCGCCGTAATGGCGGCCATTTTTGACACTGACAGGAGAGTCTCATAGCTAATTATTATCTAAGCTGTTGTACTAGTTTAACGTCATTATCTATTATCGAACTGCTATATAAACTGCATTTGAACCATTGTCGTGGGATATGGGCTTTTTAAAATCATTTATATAACATTTTTCATCTATTTCGATGAGGTATTAATTGAGTTTTAAACGTCGTCTATTTTGTAGCTGTAATACCTTATATGTATTTCATACATTTATCAGTTTACTTTATATTGGAATCATTTTATAGTGATGTTTTAACGATGCTCTCGGAGAGAGTTGAAACTGTTTCTCAATATTTCCGTTTTCTGAAATATTTTTAACTGCATAGAGATATTTTATTTATTTATATTTTTTTTGTAAAAATCGCATATAATTTCAGGATGCAGTTTATTTTGTTCGGAAGGAAACATTTTCTTCATGTCAGTAATAATATGCAATTCATTCGATGCAAAATAAGGCATGGTGCAACAAATTATAGTTTTTTTGCACGAAAAAAAAAATTTTTTTACCAAGTAGACACGGTTGTATGTCAGAGGAATATCAGAGATTTTAATTCCATTAGACATTGTCATTGTTATATTGGCGTAAAAATATAACATACGTAATATTAATATCATCGTGACTGATTATGTCTGTAGCTAGTGGTGTTATCAAAACGTAAAGTACAATGTACATAAATATAATTCGCTAGCATCACACTTGCTAAAATCAGTGCAATAATTTTTAATAATATGCGCGAACTACCATAATATCGAAAAGAAACTTGTCATTTTTAACCCAGATTGTACTAAATAATAAATAATCACTTTCAAAAATGACACTTTTCTCCAAAGTTATTGTCGCTTATGATGCGACCATTCTTACTTGTGTTTAAGGTCACCATAAATGGTTCTATCAGGTGAGAACGATCACATCGTAAGCACCATGTATTCGAAAATCATTGATAAAACAGGACTACATACATATAGATCCGTACTATTAAAATAGGTAACCTAGTCTTAGGTTATGTAAATAACTATTTTCGAATACATGGTCTTTGTGGTAGTGTAATTTGTGTGTAAATTATACATTTCAGTATGAATCTTGAAAGTTACTGGTGCGTGAGGTGAATTATTTATTTTAAAATTCATTTTTATTTCTTAATGATTAAGGCTGGTTTTAATAGTTATTATTGAACCTATTAAGTAGAAAGTAAGCACTGTGATTTGTAATTTTACTGCTGTTTCACTATAACTTTTGGTTCTTGATATAACAACTTTTTTATATTCCTGCATTTTTGTTATGATGTAACTATTTTCAAGGTAAGAATGCGGCATTGTTTTAGTAAAATTATTAAAAATGTGTATTTTTATTATTTTTTACACTCCCATATCGAATTTGTAGCGACAGCTGGTGGAAAAAATATAGGCTACTTGCTTAGGGCTAAGAAGTACTTTTCTCCGCATGACCTGCTCACACTATACTAGGCCCAGATAAGACCTATCCTCTAGTATTGCTCACACGTTTAGGGTGCTGCTGCACCGACTCCATTATTTGTGCTCGATGCTGTCTAGAGGAGGGCTGTCCGACTGATCGATGACTCTTTTCTAACAGACAATCTCGGGACCCTTTCGCACTTGCCAGGCAGACCCGCCTGACTTCGGCCTTCCTAACCATGTTAAACTGCGTACATCCAGAACTGGCCTGTACGAGAGGTCCTTTGTCCAGAGGATGTCGAGATTGTGGAACAATCTACAAGAGGAAGCTTTTCCAAGTTCTATTAATCTTAGGTAGTACAAAAATTGGATTAAGAAAATTTCTTTGGGGTCCTCATAGCAGCCGCGGTGTTCTAGCATTTAGGCTTCTGCCTGCGCGGCTATTTCGGTATTAAAAAAAACATGAAGTGGACGGTGACTGAACACATTGGCGCTCACAAGGGTGGTAAAAGGCGTAATTAGCTCCCCGACGACCTCAGCTGTCTTCGTATAAAATGAATGTATACATTAAAAATAGCTGCAACTTTAAGAATATACAGGGTGACTTTGAAGTTGAGTCATTAATTTTCAGATAATGATTGTAGAAGGAAGATAAACCAAAATATGTGTGTAAAAATTAAAAAAAAAATTTTTACCTTGTTCTATAAAGTATCCCGACAAGTATTTCAGTGTGGACCTGTATTTGATCGTGCGGTCTTGGAGCACCGGCATGCTCTCCCCTGTGAGGTCTTAAGTCACCTGATTCACGAGCCCTTTGTACTACATTAACAAAGGCACGAGGGGTTGGTTGCACTCGATTGGGAAACCGATCCGCATAAATCCGTGATGCCGCGTAAATAAGAATCATCATGTCCACAAGTTCAGCATTTTCGTAAACATGTGCCATTTTTGATTTCGTTTGAGCCACGCAACAGACACCACTATTCACTCACGCGTTACCGACTGACACTGACTGTATACAACTGAATAAAATAATTGTAAAAACATCGTTCCAAATTCTTTCGCTTTTTTGTTTCCGATGCGATGAACCGATAAGGCGGATTATATCCGTTGTTGCCAAACACGAGCACATGATATTATTATTGAGACAGGGCGGTACTCAAACTTCCAAAGGGCTATATCTTTGTTACTTTAATTTTACCAGAAAAATGGTAAAGGAAAAAAACATTTCTTTTGATCAGATCTACTCACTGTTAAAATAAATGACTCAACTTCGAAGTCACCCTGTATAATAGAAACACACACAATCTGTGCGTCTGTGACTACCCGTTCACATTTGGTGTGTCCGTAATTGTCGGAACAAGCATTGATTCTATATTCAAGATTGATCGTGATCATTCCTGTAGTAGTAGTAGTAGAAAGATTTATTTAGCACATTTGGCTACATAAACAGAACAATTGCAAACAACTTAGAACTAGTAAATTCAAGCCATATGGTGTATGATGTAAATGCTGGGCAACCTATAATTGTAGATTTAACAAGTGATTTCTCAATTTTACTTTAAATTTTGTCAAAGTTTTCTGGTCTTTTATCTCCGAGTATAATTTATTATATTCAATCAACCCTTGATGGAATACAGATTTGTAGCATATGTTATACTTTTTGGTCATGAAATGGGAGTCATCTTTATTTCTGGTATTGTGATGATGTTAAATTAGTTAGACTTGATGGAAATATATTATTTTTTACTTTATAAATGAATATCATTACAAGATATTTGATAAAACTTTTACATTGAGCCATTTTAATTTGCTAAGCGTTTGCCTAATTGGAGTATATTTATCTTTATTTAGTATTATTCTCATGCACTTATTTTGTAAAATTTGCAGTCTTTCAAAAATGGAATTATTTGCTAAATATAGAATAGTCGAACAGTACAAGAAATTTGGAAGAATGATGGTATTATAGATAATTTTTCTGCTATATGAACTCAGACATCCAGAAACTCTCGATAAATATCCCACTTTACTACTAATCTTATTTATAACTTTTTCATAATGAATATCAAAAATTAATCGAGAGTCAACAAAAACTCCCAGGTATTTAAAATTTTCTACGAATTCAATATCTTCACCATCAATATTCAGTTGAACATTTGTACATTGTTTTTTCCGATTAACAAGGCTTTCGTTTTACTTGCATTTAATTTTAGTCTGTTAGATGCTAACCATTTTGAGACAAGCTTCAAGTCTTCATTTATATAAGAGATACTAGACTGAATATTTTTAGTACTTATATAAATCATAGTGTCATCGGCGAAAATTTGAATTTTACATTTTTTGAGTATGGCAGGTAAATCATTTATGTATAAAATAAAAAGGAGTGGTCCCAGGATACTGCCCTGTGGAACACCCAACGTATTTTCAATTTTTGATGAAGTAGTGTCATTAACTTTTGTAACTTGCATCCTTTTAGACAAATAATTTCTAAACCAATCTAAAACACTTCCTGTCCACTTACCTAACAAAATATCTCTATCAATCGTTTCAAATGCCCTCTTCAAATCCAAAAATACTGCTATGACAACTTCTTCTGAGTCTATGGCTCTTCTCCAATTCTCAGTTACCAACTGGAAAGCTGTTTCTGTGGAATATTTTTTTCGAAAGCCTGCTTGCGCCTCCACTAAAATTTTGTTTTCTTCTATAAACTGCATTAATTGGTCATGCACTATGGACTCTAATAATTTTTCAATATCTGGTAACACATTTACTGGTCTCATATCGCTGCATCTTTTAGAATTTTTTATTTTGGGAACTGGTGTTATTGTAGAGCATTTCAAATTTTCAGGGAAAGAACTGCTTCTCAGTGAACAATTGATCCAATTTAATACAGGATATCCCAAAATTTCGAAACAGTTTTTCAGCACGTTTTTAGTAGTCATTTTGTTATTTGATTTTAAACTGTTTACTTTTTTTCTTAGATAATTCAATGATACGCTGTGAAATTTTGAAAGTGTATGCAACATTTCCCCCTGGAAACTGATTTTCATATAGTCAGGTGCAGCATTGGCAGTACCTACAATATCAACAATACTTTCCACAAAATATTCATTTAGTTTGTTTGCAATCACCAAAGAATTTGTTTCGGCACCGTTTTCGAATTGAACTTGATTTACACAATCATGCGGCTTCGAATTGATCAGTCTTTTTAAAGTCTTCCACATCTTTACACTGTCGCACTTGTTATTATCGATTTGTTTATCGTAGAATTTTCTTTTTTTTTTCTCTAATTACATATACACATTTATTCCTAAGAGTTTTATATACCTCCCAATCATCATTTGATTTTGTGAATATACATTTATTGTATTGTTTGTCTCTCAAATTTTGAGCTGCCTTAATATTCTTGTTATACCAGGGTGTATTTTTTGTCGAGCAAATCACTTTTTTATCAGTTGCAAGATCTAAACAAGTTTTTATATTTCCTATTATGTTGTCATATATTTTTTCCATATTCTCACCAAAATTCCAATAGCAGCCAAGTTTTTCGTACTTAATAGTATTTACGATTTTCTTAATTTTGTATCAGAAAAATGCCCTACCAAGGGCAGCATTGTCCAACTGTGATCGCAAACTTTAGGTGTATGTACAGCTTTAATCCCTGCACATTCGAAATTTACAATAACAAGATCTAACAAAGTCTCTGATAATGATGTTATTCTGGTACTCTCTTCAATTTTTTGCTTGAACCCATAGTTGTTTATGGTTTCTTTCAATTTTCTTGTTTTCATTCTTTTACCATAATAATTTAAATTAAAATCACCTAAAATATTGTTTCTAAAATTCCACATTTCTTCGCATTTTTCTTCAGAAAACGTTAAAAATGTATCTGCATCACTGTTTGGTGAACGGTAAAAAGTACAAAGATCATAACGTTTCCCAAATAATTTGAACTGTATATGTGCATAGTCTAAAGTGGTACAATCGAATAATGTGATCTGTAACATCTGAAACTTATTCTGTGGTTTTCATGTTGATAATCCATGTTCGTTTGGCCAATAAAAAGACGTATTTAAAATTCTTTATTGTATATTTTTCGGTCCCAAGAGTGACTGTCTTCATTACTGTTTGATAATACGAGGGTTGTTTCAAAAATAAGGTTCTCACATTTTTTTGAGGCACAACGTAGTGCTATTAGTAAAATACTCTAATTTCCCAGGGGATCATAAAATAAGAACTCTTATTGATAAGGAAATAAGTATTTTTAAGCAAGCACATTGAAATTCGTGCATTTACTTTGGCAACATTAAGAACACATAATAAAAACATATCGCTCAAATGTTAGTGGATACTTAGATAATTTCTCTAAAACTTTTGAAAACCATACCAAGAATAAATGTTGACGATGGGATAGCAAATACACGTAATTTGTTTTTTCGAGCCTAATAAAAATAGTCGTCTACTATTAGTAGACAATGCTTCTGAAACTAAACTGTTAGAGTTAGATATATTTCTGACAGAAAATAACTGTGGTGTTTTTGTGTAAGCGAACATTGGGCAAATGAGGATCAGTTACATTCTCTCCAGTTAGATCACTACACATTGTCTGCCGCTTATTGTAGAATAAACTACAAGCATGGTGGAGTTGCCATTTTTTTCCAAAAATAGTATTCGTTTGAAGAATGTTGAATTGAGTTGTATTGGAAAGATAATTGGTATGATGTTTACAACAATGGTGGTGACGTGGAGAATAAGTTTCAGTAGTTTGTAGATGCATTTAAATATGATTTTGAGTTAGCTTTTCCTCTCAAAGAGAAATGCATATCTTTAAAAATTAAAAAAGGAAACCTTGCTTTGTAAATGACTTCAGTAGCACTAAATATGTTATGTATGCCAATG